ACCATTCCGGGAGTGGGCGAAGACGTTCTACTGTCCTATCATGTGGAGAGCTGTGGCATATATGATCCCTCTCTGAACTTCTCAGTCAGGGCAAGCTTCCGATGACTTCAGGATGTGGCGGAGTTAAGCAAGCATAATCAAGCCAGCCAGCAATGGGATGACTAATTTTGTCAAAACCAGCTTTTCTTAACACTTTCTAAATGGAACACCTCTGGCTGGTTCAGGATTGGCATCCTGTAGTTATGCTGTGATACTACTAGTCAAGATTAGTAATGATCAAGATTCTGGGACCCACTGAACCTGGCTCCTTCTCATTCTTAAGAGCCCCCATTTTGTTCCAGATTGGTCCCATTGGAGTTCTTAGAGGTTTTTGATCCTTCAAATATGCAGAATACAAGTCTGTTAGCCCTGGTCTAAGCTAAAGAAAGGAGCGCAGTGGTTCTATCCAATAAACACTGGACTGTGAACCACAAGGTCTGCAGTTCCAGCCTGCCAGTCTCTCTGCAGGAGAAAGATGAGGCTTTCTGCTCCTGAGATTTAAAGCCTCGGAAACCTGATGCAGGGTCACTATGAGTTGGAATCAACTCCAGGTCACATAACAAGAAGCTTAAGAAACACACGATGTTCCACATCATTTTGTTTACTGTTTGTTTAGTAAGCATATCAATTTACATTGTGAATCATCCCAGAATCAAATTCTCATTCAAGGTGCGATTTAGCTGGCCACTAAATGTTTCCATTGCCTTTCCTGAAATGGTCAATTGTTGCATCCATATGAGTCGACAATAGAATGATCACTACAAGTTATGTTTACTTGGACTTGACTGTATGCAAGATGCTTTGGTATATTTTTGTCTTGTTTGTTTCTCTATATAAAGTGAGCTGTTACCCTCACTTTACAGATGAAATAGCCAAGATCTAAATAATTATCTAAATTCATGGCAGAATCCCAAACTCAGATTCTGTCTTTTGGTTTATAATCTATAAAATAACCCCCAGTGTGGTGGACACAGGAGCACCTTATGTTACTAACAGGACTCCGTAGCCTGTAGCCAATGTCTGGAGAGAGAGAAGGGAGATGGTTCTGCTACTTCCTTAGTCCAGTTCAGCCCAATCAGAAGACTGGCGGAGAAGGTCTGCAGGGCACTGAGGAAAACCATGGACTCACGTTAGCTAGGTCTGAATCCTAGCTCCTTCACTGATGTGCAGAATGAGCTTAGAAAAGTCATTTCACGTCTCTGTGCCTCCGTTTCCTCCTCTGTAAATTCTGGGTTATACTGGTAGTATAAGTGCCTAACTCGTAGGTTGTTATAATGATGACATTCATAGCAAGGAAATAAAGCTGGAAACCAAGACACTGCAAATGTACCAGGTGTGATTTCTATTGCAAATGTAACTACGGTCTTTTGGGTTGTGTTGGGAAGACAGCTCAGTCACTACTCACAAGGTTGTTTCTTTCTGGGAAATGTGCTCCTACTACAAAAAAACCCAAAAAAACCCCCAGCTTATAAATATGTTGGAAAGTTAAGGGACAATTATATCATTTAAGAATTATAAAGATAAATGCTGAGTCATCTCCACCTTCTTCCTTCCCCTTATCTACCTCAAAGAAAATAACCATATGTGTGAGAATCAAATCAAACTTTGATTTTGGATTAACCCTACATTGGTATTCGCTGCATCCTTTTGTTCCACTGATTCCAATCATTTCAAGTTGAATCGAAAGATCACTAGTATAGGCATTTATGGAAAACTGAAACGGAAGGCACGCTGAAGCCTATTGAAAACTCTCAATTAAAGTGAAAATTACATTAAGGACATGCTGCTGAGTTTCACCAATGGTCTGTTTGTTGTTCGGTGTCGGTGTCCCTGAACCTACTTCAACTCATAGTAATGCCCGGGGACAGTGGAGAATGATTCCATCAGATTTTCCGGATTGTCAATCTGTGACGCTGTAGGGTCAGCTCTGGACTTCAGACCACAAGGTCGGTAGTTCAAACCCACCAGCTACTCCTCAGAAACCTTATATAAGATTGATATGAGTCAGAACCGACTCAATGGCACTTCGCAAGTGCAAACAAATCTTTATAGGAGCTGATTGGCAGATTTTTCTCCCACAGAGCTGCTGAGTGGGTTTAAACAGCCATCCGTTGGTTAAGCACCCTTCCCACTTAAGCACTGTGTTACCCAGCTTATTTTAAGGCCTAAACCATCCTGACGGGCAATATCCTTTGTCACACTGAAAAGTGAGGAGGGGGTGGGGAACTACGCTCATCCAGCTCTCAATCAGCTCTGCCCTGCTCACGTGTGGAAGGCCAATAGAAAGTGGATCAATGTGCTTACGGTTTTCACCTGAACTATTAAAAAACAATTGTTAAAAAAAGGATGTAAATTTAATCCTATTTTTGGAAGTGGACTTCCCCTGCCCCCCAACATTTTCTTGAGAATTGGAAAATGTTTGTCTACAACCGACTCCATGGCACATAACAACAACAACAACAATTGCAAGGAGTTCCTCTACTTTCTCACAATGAGGAGTCCTTCCTCTTAGGCAAGAGCAGCATAGGGGATATTGTTGTTGTTGTGTGCCATGCAGTCGGTTCTGACTCATAGCGACCCTGTATAGGGTTTCTGAGGAGTGGCTGGTGAGTTTGAACCGCTGAAATTGGGGTCCAGCACTTATTCTACAGTGCCACACCAGGACTAAGGAGCTCTGGTAGCTAGTGGTTACAAATCGGGCGCTAACCTTACAGTCAGCAGTTCGAAACTACCAGCTGTTCCGCAGGAGAAAGATGAGGCTTTCAGCTCCGGTAATGATTTACAGCCTCGCAAACCCTGTAGCTATGAGTTGAAACCATCTTCACGACACACAACAACACCAGGACTCCATATGGGTATTGTGGTTGTTGTTGTTGAGTACCATCAAGTCCGTTCTGACTCATAGCGACTCTGTATAGGGTTTCTGAGGAGCAGCTGGTGAGTTTGAACTGCTGACCTTGTGGTTTGAAGTCCAGTGCTGATCCTACAGGCGTCCATACTGGGTGGTAGACATCCCTTTTAGTTTTAAAATTTCAGGATTGCATTTGAGTCTTAGGGCCAGGTCCTCTTTCTTTACTCCTACTTCCAGGATCCTAGAACTGTGTGCCTGGCATATAGAACCCATCGGTAGGAATCTTTGGAATTAATAAACCTGGGGAAGGCCAGATACTGCATTTCATCTGGGGATGCATTTTGTTAGAGGCAGCCAGGTTTTCTAACAATGACTACAGAGACCTCTGCTGGCGAATGGTGGGATTACAAGTTCAGGTGGTAACTGCTGTCAAGTGGAATCCCACGCATAGTGACTCTGTACGGGGCTTCCAAGGAGCAGCTGATGTGTTTGAAATGTCCACCTTATGGTTTCAGTCCAGTGCTGATCCTACAGTGACACACATGTAGATGGTGTGGGGAAGGGGAAGCAAAGATAAAAAGAGTCCAGGGGTTCATTTCTCAGCTCTTTTCTGTTCCTCTGTTCACATTCCATCCTACGCACACTAACAGGCCTGTGCCCACCATAGTATAGGGTGTGCAGTGGGACTAGGACATGGCCAACACTAAACTAGTGTTAGAGGTGACTGGGAATTATGTCTAATGCAAACAGTACAAGAACTGAACTCTGATTCATCTTTCTGTAATCATCTGTGAGCAAGTTCATATTCAAGGTCTACATTCAAGCAAAGTTAGATTAGGCATGGAGCGAGTAAAAGTTCTGTGATCTGTGAGTCTGGTTAATTTTTAAGATTTGTTACTCTTCTTAGTTCTGGGCCATATATGAGTATGCTATACACAGTCTAAGTGTCACTTAATACCTCTCCACGTGTATTTTTCTCCATACACTGTCTTCATATCACCTGGGTCAGCAGTTCAATCTCGCCAGCTGCTTCTTGGAGACCTTATACAAGGTAGCTATGAGTTGGAACTGACTCCAAGGCACTTAACAACAATAACAACAACAGGTAATTCAGGGCGTGCAGTGGCTCCACATGATAAGCACTGGACTGCGAACCACAAGGTCCATGGTTCGAACCCATCAGCAGCTCCACTGGAGAAAGATGAAGCTTTCTGCTCCCGCAAAGATTTAAAGCCTTGGAAACCCAATACAGGGTTGTTATGAGTAAGAACCAACTTAACGACACTTAACAACATAACCAAGTGTCATACATAGTCTAAAAGTTAACAGTTGTTCTATTATTAAGTCGTAATTTTTTTAAAAAAGGAGTTCTGGTAGCGTAGTGGTTACAAATCAGGCGGCGAACAGTAAGATCAGCAGTTCGAAACTACTAGCTGTTCCGCAGGAGAAAGATGCAGCTTTCTGCTCCCGTAAAGAGTTACAGCCTCAGAAACCCTGTACAGGGTCGCTATGAGTCAGAACTGACTCCACAACACATAATAACGACGACAACAACAACAATTAAAAAAAAAAAAACTTTCCTAAATAAATCCTAAGAGCTTGTGAAATGACCTATTTGTTTATCCTCTTAGGTTCCACTTGAAAGAGACAGTTTCGTTTTTCCTACTCTGAGCTATTCTGGACATTTGTAAGGGAAAGAGAAGATAATTTGCTAAACTTTCTTATCCCATTCTTCCTAGCCACAGCAGTCAGTCCTCTAGACTTCTGTGGTTATTAACAGACCCCTAGAGGAATCTCTCACTGCACAATTTATGCCTGAGCTCAGACCTGAACGCCACACAGCAGCCTCAACATCTCAAAGTACATGTGCTCGCATCCATAATCTGGATGAGTCAATATTATACAACTTCATTTTTAATGTTTCCATAGTCATAGTCTTTAAAGCTAATGGCTACTCCACTACTAAGCAGTAATTTTTTTAAAAAATCTCTTTCCAAAAGAAATCCTGTGAGTTTGTGAAATGACCTATTTGTTTATCCTGTTAAATTCAATTTGAAGAGGTACTTCAGCTTTCCCTGCTCAGAGCTATTGAATAAGCAAAATCACTTGCATTTGAGGTGGGGCAGAGTTCCCAGTAGAGTCCATGATTTGAAATTCCATGACATCTGAATTGACTTGCAATGATGGGTTCATGACATAAAGAATGGTCTTACTATTTAAGTCCTTTTGACTGAAATTTTCATGGATAAATTCACCTATATAAAAAAAAAAAATCAGTGAATCTCATGGGTAGTCACACAAAACATTAAATGAGAGCTGAAAATTGTATGGCTATTATATTAAAACGACTTCTGGTATGGAGCTGCAGGATAAACAATGGGCTACTAACCTCAAGGTTGGTGGTTCAAACCCTCCAGCTGCTTCTTAAAAACCCTATCCAGGGTCTCTATGAGTCAGAACTAACTCACTTAACAACAACAACAATTGTATTCTAAATACAGTTTTAAAGCACAAAGTCCATTTAAAAAAAAAGAAACTAACATTATTGCATCTAGCTCATAAAATATATAAAGAATGCATTCATTCTGTGCCATTCTGTTTTCTGACGCATTGAAATCAGTGTCTCCAAAGTCAGAAAAAATACACAGTTCGGGTCAATCACGGGGGGGGGGGGCAATTTAAAAATAAACTGACATCATTTAGAATTCATGATAGAAGCAAAAATAGTTAAAATATGAATGAGGTCTGACACACAGTTTCTCGGAATATATTACAATCTGGTGATTTTAACAAAAAGACCTGTGATCGATAAAAAGCTGTGTATGAGAATTTGGTTTCCCCCTCAAGATGAATTTAGGGAAGTTGGGCTTTAAACCTTCTTTAGCACTAACACTGTTCATAAACTGCACCTATCAGTAAGTCCTGAAGAGTGTTTACCAATTGGGCATGGACTTAATTAAGTGACTCCCTAGCACCGTCAGCCACTGGGTGTTTTAAAATGAACAATTACAAAGATTAAAGAAGCCATAAGTACCTGTTGTTATGTTCTCCAGATGCCCATGATGTGGGCCTCGTAAAAGCTTAAAGATGATCTGATTATCCTTGGTGTTCTGGGCAGAAGCCTTCAGTACACGAGATGTGATGTAAATCCCGTAACAGCCATTTTTCAGGAGTCCCACTTGTGACGGAGAATGTAAGTGTGTGATCCAGGGAGCCGTGATGTCCACCTGGTCCACCTACATCACCAATAGTGACATGCAGTGTTACACAACGGCTTCTCACTCACATGCATCTGAGATGTTGCAGTCCAACCATGACAGTTCAACTCTCTCGAGTTTCAGAGTCTCAGTCTCCTCTTTTGTTAATTTCCACTAAAGACTAGGATAAACATGAATGGAAAACATTTGTTCTATTTACGACCCCCTCAGCATCTGTATAGTGCCTGGATCAGAGGCCAACTTTCCATTTCAAACTTTGACCCAACTTTGTCTTTGTTTCCACCCCCCCCCCTACTTCCTTTCTCTCTTCATTAGTAAAACACTGTCTGAATAATAGTTCAGTTAATATTTGCTGAATTAATAAATTAAGTTGGGTCCAAGAATGGCATTGCAAAATTGTTAGCTCCACAGAAAGATGTCTCCATTTTCCCAATATTTAGTGAACTTCAGAAACAGACTTATAGGGATTTTAAAAGGTATAGAACTCTTTTTGGTATGTTATTGCTCAATTGGCAAAAATGCTGACTAAAAATAGAAATAGTAAGAACAAAGTGAAAGGTGATTATGTGAAGATGGATACTTGTTTCCAGTTAACTAACGTTGATGTTGATATTAAGTGCTGGCCCATAGCGACCCTGTGTAGGGTTATGAAGATGGCGTATGAGAAATTACACATGAGTCAGCACAAGGATATAGGTTCAAACACCGTAAAGGGCCTCATTTAGCTGTGGTGGTCTATAAGGAGGCTCAGCACATTCTATAGACAACTTGTAGGTTATATATGGAGTGATTTTGAATACAAATACTGATACTAGCAAATAAGGATAAGAATATTACTTTCATTTCCCTCTCGTTTAATCTTACAATGTATTTTGTATATTATGGAATAAGTCACTATTTTTAGTAAGTAATATATAGAATGGAATTGAGAAATATCCATAGCGTAGTGTTAATTGGAGGAAGGAAGCAAGTTATAGAAGATAACTGTAACACAATTTTTGTTAAAAATAAATTATATATATATATATATATATGTTGTTGCTAAGTTCTGTTGAGTCAGTTCCAACTCATAGCAATCCCGTGTAGGGTTTCCAAGGAACAGCTGCTGAACAGCTGACCTTGCAGTTCAGACTGACCTTGCAGTCCAGTGTTTCTCTTCTTGCACCACACCTAGACACTCTCCTCTCTCTCTCTTGACATATATATAATATATATCACACACACACTCACACACTCACACACATACATTTATTGTTGTTAAGTGCCTTCAAGTTGGTTCCAACTCATAGTGACCCTGTATAGGTTTTCCAAGGAGCAGCTAGTGAGCTTGAACCGCCAACCTTGAGCTTCAAACCGACCTTGCAGTCTGGCACATTAGCCCACAGTTACACACACACACACACACACACACACACACACACATATGCAAATATCTGGAAGCATTTCACAAGATAGTTCACTCATTTCAAGGTATAGAAAAATTGCAACTCCATCTTTGTGTATTTCTATGCAGAATTTTGTGATAACTACACTTTTTTTTTTCTTTTAAATTGGCCAAGTTATTTTCTAAAAATAAAAATAATTAGGCAGTATGGTAGTAAATGATTAGAAAAGCAGATTTTTTTATGTTTTGCTGGTAAGGGTGCAAATTAGTGAAAATTTTATGAAAAGAAATTTGGCAAAAAACAAAGAATTCTAAAAATGTATGTACATATGCTTTGAGTCACAAAGTTTCCCTTTATGAGTGTATCCTGTGGGGAAAATTAGATGTATGCACAAAAATGTGTGTGTGTGTGTATCAAGTTGTTTTATAGTCAATTTTCACTCACAATGACCCCATGCGGGTCACAGCAGAACTGGGCTCCAGAGAGTTTTCAGTGCCTGATTCTTCAGAACTAGGTCATCAGGCATCTCTTCTGAGATGTCTCTGGGTGGGCTTGAGCCAAGTGTATTTACTGTTTGCACTACCCAGAGATTTCATGTATGTGTATGTGTGTGTAAGACTGCATATGGATATGCAGATATACTTATATATACATACATGTGTGCCCCAACTCGTCTGTCAGTTTGTTGTACTTTGGTGGCTGGTGTGTTGCTGTGATGCTGGAAGCTATGCCACTAGTATTTTAACTACCAGCAGGGTCACCATAGGTAGACAAGTTCAACTGAGCTTCCAGACTAAGACAGACTATGAAGATGGAGAGACGGACTACTTCTGAAAATTTAGCCACAGAAAACCTTATGAATAGTAGAAAAACACTGTCAAACCGCACTAGAATATTACCTGTTGAAACATTGTGAATAGCACCATAATATTGTCAGGTATAATTTCCAAAGATGAGCCCCTAGGGTTAGAAGGCACTCAAAATACAATTGGGAAGAAGCTGCCCCTTCAAAGTAGAGTTGATCATGATGATACAAACTCAATAAAGCTTTGGGACCTTCATTTGCTAATAGGGCACAACTCAAAATGAGGAGAAACCGCTGTAAATACCCATTAGTAATCAGAACATGGAAGGTACAAAATATGAATCTAGGAAAAGTGGAAATTGTCAAAAATGAAATGGAACACAAAAAGATAGATAGATTAGTGAGCTGAAATGGACTGGTATTGGCCATTTTGAATCTAACAATTATATCGTTTACTATGCCAGGAATGAAAAATTGAAGAGGAATGGCATCACATTCATCATCAATATGAACATTTCAAGACCTAGCTGGAAGTATAATGTTGTCTGTGATAGGATAAAATCCAAACACCTATAAGGAAGACCAGTTAATACCACAATTATTCAAATTTCTGCACCAACCACTAAAGCCAGTGATGACAAAATTGAAGTATTATACCAATTTCTTCAGTTTGAAATTGATTTAAAAAAAAAATGCAATGATAATTACTGGTGACTAGCATGCAAAGGCTGAAAACAAAGAGATAGGATAAGTATATGGAAAATATGGCCTTGGTGATAGAAATGATACTGGAGATCACATGATTGAATTTTTCAAGACCAATAAATTTCTTCATTGCAAATATCTTTTTTAAAAAGCATAAAGACAACTATATACATGATTTCACCAATGGAATATACATAAATCAAATTGACTCTATCTGTGTGAAGCAATGGTAGAAAAGCTCCATATCATCAGCCAAAACAAGGCCAAGGGCAGAGTGTGGATCAGACCATCAATTGCTTATATGCAAGTTCAGGCTGAAGCTGAAGAAAATTTAAACAAGTCCACGAGATCCAAAACACGATCTTGGACATACCTGACCTGAATTTAGAGATAATCTTAAGAAGAGATTTGATGCATTTGTTGCTAACGACTGACATCAAGAGCATCATACAGGAAGAAAGCAAAAATGTCATTAAGAAGAAAAGAAAGAAGGAAAAGACTAAACTTGTTGTCAGAAGAAACCCTGAAAGTTGCTCTTTAGCATAGAGATGCTAAAACAAATGGAAGACATGAGGAGGTAAAAGAGCTGAACAGAAAATTGCAAAGGGCTGATCAAGAAGACAAAGTCAAGTACTATATTCAAATGTGCAAAGACCTGGAGTTAGAAAAACAAAAGGGAAAAACACACTCAGTCTTTCTCAAGCTTAAAGACTACACAAAAAATTCAACCCTTGACTTGCAATATTGAAAGATTCTATGGGCAAAACATTGAATATTGCAGAAAGCATCAAAAGAAGATAGAAGGAATACACCGTTACTGTCCCATAAAGAAATGGTTGATGTTCAACCATTGCAATAACTAACATGTAATCAAGAGTCAATGGTACTGAAGAAGTCCAAGTTGCTTATGTGGATCAACACTCAAAATTATTGTTAAAAAAAAAATAAGACAAAGCATACTGGTTAGGAAGAGACTAGAGGAACCTGAGACTATAGCCCTTGAACATCATTCACGTGTGGACAGGAACTCAACCTTGTGGCCCAACTTTCAGTCAAGCAGTAGATTTGTAACGGGGGACTACACAGGCAAGGTATGCTCACTATGAATTATGGGATGGCCAATCATTCAAAATTAAAAGGGCAACATTTACCTATCACAAAGTTGAGAAGGTTTGGGAAGGTAGGTGGAATGGAAATAGGAGTTCTGGTAGCATAGTGGTAGTTAAGTGCCATTGAGTCGGTTCCGACCCATAGCAACCCTGTATAGGGTTTACAAGGAGAGGCTGGTGAGCTTGAACCGCTGAGCTTATGGCTCAAACCGACTTTGCAGTCCAGCACACTAACCCACAGTGCCACACTAGGACTCCAACCTCAAGGTTAGCAGTTTGAAACTACCAACTGTTCTATGGGAGAAAGATAAGGCTTTCTGCTCCCATAAAATTTACAGCCTTGGAAACCCTATGCAGGGTCACTATTAGTTGGAACCGACTCCGTGGCGTATAACCAACCAACTAAAGATCTAACTCTAGTTACATAGTCTTCTATTGTGTCTCTGGTCCTCTTATTGTTTCTCTTGCAGTAAAATGTTTGCTCATCTTACTGAACCTCTAACTTTTTCAAAAGTAGGTCATGCTCAGTATACCACAGACATTTTCCACTATTAATGTACTAAGACATTTGTTTTTTAAAGGAAGGTTGTGTCCTTATGATAATTCATGTTAGATTTACTGAAAAATCATCATAGAAAGAACGAAGTATAGGAAGAAGTTAACAATGATCCTTTCTCGTTCACCCTCCAGTTCCCATCCCTTTAAAAAAGATGGCAGGAATCCGTTGCAGTGTCTTGATTAACAAACGTGGCTTTCCTACAAAATGAATGTCAAGTGATACCCACAGACACCAACAGAATGCACCTAGGACTTGTAGTTGTTAACTGCAGTCGCTTTGCCTTGGGTCACCAGGCACCCATCTTGCTGGCCATAAAAGTAGTATATTTCTACTTGAGAGATTTGTTTGGAGCAATTCACTGCTCACTGGTGGTTGTCACCACACTAACATGCAAAGGACTGAGGATGTCCTCTCTCTTGCACAGCTGATAGGGGTCAGTCATTTCCTAAGCTTACTTGGTCTGTTTGTTTACAGAGACCACAGAATTCAGGAGCAGAATGGGAAAACGAATGTTTCTTTGTGAGGGTTTTATACAATAGGGATTTTTTTTTTAAATAAGGAAAACCTTGTACTTTAGATGAAATAAAAGAGAGAGAGAGAGAGAGATGTTTACATTTATCCAGTATTTTCCTTTCAGTAAATTCTGCAACTTCCAAGAGGTAACTTGGATGGTTAGGCTTTTTGAGGTGGACGTTGGGGTTGAAAGAAACCTGATTTAAGTTCTGGCACCTTCTCCAAACTCTACTCTCTTTGCCATCTCTGCTCTGGAGTACACAGGAAGCTCTGATGCCTGTACTCAGAACTCATGTTGTTGTTGTTGTTTAGTACCGTGGAGTTGGTTCCGACTCATAGTGACCCTGCTCAGGGTTTCTGAGGCTGTAAATCTGTATGGGAGCAGAATGCCTCATCTGTCTCTCAAGGAACCGCTGGTAGTTTCCAACTGCCGACCTTGAGGTTAGAAGCCCGATTCGTAACCACTACGCTACCAGAGCTCCTTACTCAGAACTCATACCTCCTACAAATATGCAACCAAATAGACCAGATGATTATTCGTGTTTGAGAGTAGCATGGCATCTCTCAACCTAGGGGAGAGAGAGAGGAGGCCATAAAGAGAAAGTAAGACTAGACGATGAGGTGGGATTTATAATAATGAAAACATACTAGAAAAAGGAACAGAAACACGGCCATTTTACTACATACAAAGCACTTCATACACACCATATCAGCATCATCGATTGGCTCTTCACAACTTAGTTACATTTTCTGGCCCTCCCTGGTGCCAAAGACTCACCCTGCACCCACTCTGTGTTGTCGTGACTCCTCATTCTCCTACTCAGATCTCACCTTAGCAAGAGACTACAGAGTAAGGGGGATATCTGCATATTTTACATAACCAGCAAACAGTGGTGGAAGTCTGTAATCCAGGGTGAACAACATCCAAGGAGCTTGTATTCAAGGGTTTGAGAGGAAGAACATGCATGAACTGTTATGATTAATATATATAAGTCCTCCAATAATCAGTGAAATAATTGACACAAATTTGGCAGTGTAGAGACATCAAAAGGAACAAAAAAATTGGGGATCAGATTGAGCTCTGCTATGTATCTTTGATGACTTTAACCTCTGAATCTCAGTTCCCTCATCTATAAAATGGAGATAATGAAACTTGACTCATTAAACAGGATTCCTATAAAGTGTGTCTGATCTATAGTAAGCACTACAAAAGTGTGGTTCTGCTGTTCCTCCCCTCCTCACTATTATGTGTGCAAGAACGATACCGCCTTGTATGTTTTCATGTACTTAGTTGAGAACCACTGAGATGCCAGTAGATGATATGGCCCAACAAGCGTTATCATAACAGGAAACCAGTTGTTAAGTCGATTCTGATTCATGGTCATCCTGTGTGTCTCAGAGTAGACCTGTGTTCTGTGGGGTTTGCGATGGTTGCTTTTATGGAAGTAAAGTCACCAGGTGTTTTTAGATGGACATCATTTCCATCACCCACTGAATATCTAATATGTCTAATATGCTAGTGGCCTGGGTATGCCAGAAATTCAAGCAGTGTTCAGAAGAGGGCATGGAAACAGGACTATTACTGCTGATAATCAGATAGATCTTGAATGAAAGTAAAGAATAGAAAAATGTTTGCCTGTGTTTCATTGACTATACAAAGGCATTCAACTGTGTGGATCATAATGAACTATGGACAACATTCAAAGAGTGGGAATTCTAGAACACTTAACTGTGCTCATGCTGACCAAGAGGCGGTTGTTTCAACAGAGCAAGGGGCTACTGAGGGGTTTAAAATAAGGAAGGCTGTGTGTCAGGGTTGTATTCTTTCACCATACTACCATTCAATCTGTATGCTGAGCAAATGATCTAAGAAGCTAGACAACATAAAAAAGAACCTGGCATCAAGAATGGAGGAAGACTCATCAACAACATGTGATAAGCAGGTAACACAGATAACACAACCTTACTAGCTGAGAGTGAAGAAGACTTGAAGCACTTACTAATGAAGATCAAAGACTACAGCCATCAGTGTCTATACCTCAATAGAAAGAAAACAGATATCCTTACAACTAGGCCAATAAGCAATTTTAGGAGAAATGGAAAGAATATTGAAGTTGGCAAAGATTTCATTTAACTCGGAGCCACAATCAATGCTCGTGGATACAAGTTGAAAACCCAAACAGTGTATTGCATTGGACAAATCTGCTGCAAAAGACCTCTTTAAAGTGTCAAAAATGTCACTTTGAGGACTGAAGTGCACCTGACCCAAAATACCCAGCCATGGTATTTTCAATCAGCTTATATGCATGCAAAAGTTGGATACTGAACAAGACAGACCTAAAAAGAATTGATGTCTTTGAATTATAGTATTGGTTAAGGATATTGAATATACCATGGACAGCCAGGAGAACAAACAAATCTGTCTTTGAATAAATGCAGCCAGAATGCTTCTTAGAAGCAAGGATGGTGAGACTTTGTCTCATGTATTTGGGACATTATCAAGAGGGACCCATCATTGGAGGACATCATGCTTGGTAAAGTAGAGGGACAGCAAAAAAGATGACGCCTCCCAACAAGATAGATTGACATGCTGTCTGAAACAATGCGCAGCAATGATTGTGAGGATGACTCAGGACCAGTCAGTGTTTGGTTCTATTTCAAATTCACTGTAGACCAAAGAGTCATACTTAGAGATAATCATAGAGAACTTTTCTGCCCAGGTATCCTTGCTAGTCGTCATTGCAAGGAATTAGCAAGTCAATCCCGACTCACAGAGTTGGGGCTACTGAGTTGAAATCAATACAGCAGCATCCAACAACAACTGACAACTGGATATGCAGGTTTTTTTCAATGAAAGAAGAGTTGATCCAAAAGAGTTAAAGAGTTTATCTAAGGTCACCCAGTGAACCTGATAGGGCAGAAATTCTAGCCTACTTTGTCTGACCCCAAAGCGCATTGTTCTCTTCCTCTTTTCCGAGCAGATAGCCCCTGAGTTATAATTTATTCAAGTTACAATCAGACACATTTGTGGCTGTCTGGTTTTGTTGTTGTTTCACATGGTATGTTTAGTAACATGTCCTGCAAGCACTGTTGTTGCTGGGCATGATTTGTTATCACTATCAGATGTCCACTCACATACATTTATAGCCAATGTTTCCTAGTCCTAAAGGCAAATAAAAATTGGATTTATAAAATATTGATAATAAAAGCAATAAAGAAAGAGGAATTCAACTTACATCAGAAATTACATACACCAGAGCCATCAGAAAGAAACCCTGTTATAAATCAGGGACACCTGTACTACCAGAGACTCATGGTCACCCCATGAGCCTATAAGGGACCAAACCTGCTTTCTTCATGATTAACATGCCCAGTTCTTTTCCTAGTGTCTGGCAGGCTGTATACGCACAATGTGTATCTGAATGAAAGAGGAAAGGGAATAGGAGATGGTTCTTCTCGAAGTCATGTCTCTGGTAATGAACTGTCTGCCATACTTGCCTGGATGATGAATGAAACAGGTTCTTCCCACACTCTTCCATCTACAACAAAGCCTTGGTTTGTTCTATCTGTAGCAACAAAAGTAAATCGGTCCATCTGGGAATCTTCTCCTGAGTGCCTATATGCCACGTTCCTGCTGTCCACGTCCTGTTGAGTGAAATTGGGTTGAAGTAGCACTGTCCCCCGCAGGTACAGCTGGCCATGTTGTGGGAGCTGGATAAGCAGGAAGCTGAGTCTCTCCAGTGGGGTGTCAGGGTCGGTCAGCTGCAGGAGCTCAGGGGAAATGAGGCCTGTAGCCCCTTGGACCAGTCTCAACCCCTTGTTCCTTGTCACCACAGGCAAAGCCTTGTCCACGGTTTCGAGTGTGACCTCAAAGACCCCATGCTTCGTCCGCAGTCCATTGCTGACAATGAATCTGACAAAGAGAGGCAAGGCAGCCTTCAGCATGGATTCTTGTTTCACCATCTACTGGAATGAAATGATAACAATACACACCTTTACTAAAGGATATGTTGGGTTGTGATTCAAATGAAAAATCAAAGGCAGTTCTTTCAGAAGGATGCCTTTCTGCTGTTAAACCATTCACCGAATAGTACATATATTGACCATTCTATGCCCAAAGGTATTTTTCAGAAACATTGATGGTACACTAGGGGATTGTTGTTGTTGTTGTCAGGTGCCATCGAGTCAGAACTGACACTAGGGGATGGAGTAAGCTAATTGTGGCAACAATATTTTTCAGGTTCACCAGTAGTTAGCATAGGTCCTTGCTCCAAGTGAATCTATTAAATGAGTTTGAAGAATACACCCATTTTATATATTTGTAATTTTGCAATTTTATCTTCATGGATTACAAGAAGCTAAACATTAAAGGCTGATAACTAGGGGCCAAAGGAGCTCTGGTAGCATAGCGGTTATGAATCAGGCTGCCAACCTCAAGGCCAGCAGTTCAAAACTACCAGCTGTTCTGCGGGAGACAGATGAGGGGTTCTGCTCCCGTAAAGATTTACAGCCTCGAAAACCCTGTGCAGGGTCACTATGAGCCGGAACCGACTCCACAGCACTAAACAACAACAACAACTGGGGGCCAAACCCAATAAAATGCTGAGCATGCTGGTTTTGGCTAAGCTACTGTACTGGTGGTGGTGGTTGTGTGCTACCAAATCGGTTCCAACCCACATAGACCCTGTTTAGGGTTTCCGAGGCTGCACATCTTTATGGGAGCAGCGACTTTGCGGTTAGCAGCCCAGCTGGTGATCCACTCTGCTATCAGGACTCCTTAGCCCCTGTACTAGTGTGTGCATATTTTTATGATGAATTTTCTAAGGGCATATCCTACTACCCACTCATAGGATCTTCTCTAACTCATCTCCATTCTCTGGGCTTCATTTTTATTCTTTGGTAAAAGAAGTGGGATGGACCAGACAGTAACTAAGGACTATCTGATCCTAAAATATTACTTGTGGTTTTATCCTTTGCAGTCTATATGTGCCTTTATATTTTACCCTTAAGATTTGTGAGAGTTCTGTTAGATGAGGACACTAATCCTTGTGTTAGAAAAAAGAAAATTACAGCAGAAACGTCCAGAAACTTGGTGTAAGACTGTACGTCAGGTAGGAAACAGAGCTGGAACTAGAACCCAGATCTTCTGACCCCACACCCCTCTGTCCTTGCAGCATGTTTAATAAATGCTGGGTTTTTAAAAAACAAAAACAGAGAAATTGATACAAAATGAGAGAGATAATCGCGTGGTAAGCAAAATCTCTCAGGCAGTATTGGGTTTGTGATACCTTAAGGTGTTTCTGAGTGTATGGATCACTGGAACATATTTCACTTACCACTGCCAATCTCAAAATTAAACTAATTCAAATTATCTTTAGAATATTTCAATACATAACTTTTATTTTAAGGAGAATTTAGAGTATTGTGAAATTAAGCAAACAAGAAACAATATTACAACTCTAAAATATTAGGAAACCACTACTATTGGGATCCACAAATTCACCATGTTGTTGTTGTTAGGTGCCATTGAGTTGTTTCCAATGCATAGCGACCTTATGCACAGCAGAACGAAACACTGCCCAGTCCTGGGCCAACCTCACAATTGTTGCCATGCTTGAGCCCACTGATGCTGCCACTTGGCCAATCCATCTCGCTGGGGGTCTTCCTCTTTTTCTATGAC